ATGTAATGATGTTCTTCAGAATTTTGTTCATTGCAAATCGTAAACCACTTGAGTTATGTTTAACAAAGGAATTATTAACATCTGAATCTAAAAGCAAATGACAAGTGTGAATGTAGATGTGCAAAAGTTGGCTGAAAAGTTCATAGGCTAACCAAACAAAGTGAGATTTATTTTTCAACATCATCCCCCTTTGTGATCCGCATAATTCTCAGCCCACCTTCCTATACAACTCCAGTACAAACTATAATTAATTTCTCATCATGTCCAATTATGAAAACAGGTTCATACCATTTCTTACAATCATTGTTTTTATAGTATATCTCCTCACCATTGGTCAAAGTTTCAGCAGCAGCAAATCACATCTTATTTATCAATGCACACTTTATTTTCAGCCTAGATTCATAATGAAAAAAAAACTCACAATTTGCATGGTATTTAAATTATCACTAACCATGAGTGAATCTTGTAACAATGCAGGGAAATGACTTTGAAAAAACATCTTGAACTACAAGATTGAATAGAAAAAAACTGTTTAGGTAAAAATCCAGAACAATTTGACAAAGCATTATGAGCAGATACCACTTAAAAAATTGCAACATCAGTTTCACATGTAGTTTCAGTGAGAATCTTATTAACCATGTCATCAATGAGAGTAGTCACTTGTTCACAAACATCATTGCTCCAGGGACTTGTATCTGCAGTGGTCATTATCTCTTTATTAAATGTCTTATCCAAGTGACATATACTGCTGTTAAATTCACAACCAATTGTTTGATAGAAACTTCTTATGAGCACCAAATGTTGATATTCAAAATGAAAGCTTTAATTATTGTTTTTGGTTGTATATCATGATCACAGCTGCTGTACAAAATCTGGTTACAAGAGCATCATAAATTAGAAAATACATTTTCCCTATACTTTTAAATCAATTAAGAAAACTGTTTTCTTGAATTTTGTTGTGGAGTGGATACATACAGTAGGACAATTTATTTTTTTTAGTTCCTACAAACATTCAAAGTTTATTTCTTTTTCTCACTCAAAGTTGCTTATTTTAGCACTTTTAAGTAAATTTATCAGTTTAACAGCATTTAGATATCCACTTTGTTTACATAATTTCAAAACAACCTTCTTTGCATCGGTAACAGGGAACCACATAATAGTAACTTGTAACAGGGAACCACATAATAGTAACTTGTAATTCTCAGAATCTTCTTATGGATCATTGGAAATTGAAGTGACTTGAAGTTGTTTTCACAGATTTAATTCTTTTTTTTAACAATGTTCACCATGTCATGTGAGATAATTTTTCTCTTCAGAATTTATCATACATATCTATAAGTCTACCATTCATCCATGCTTAGAATATTGCTGTCATATATGGCTCCAGTGCCCCTGCTATTTACCTTGAGTTCCTTGATAAAATTCAAAGAAGGAACAATATTATCAGCTCTGATCTGGTGGCTCAGCTTCAGTCATTATCCCACCACCATAGAGTTGCCTCCCTGTGCCTTTTTTTATAAATACTTTCATGGTAATTGTTCAGATGAACTCTTCACTATGGTACCTAGACTTCATGAATTTAAGTTCAGAACTAGAATGGCATCAAGATATCAACAATGTACAGTTGAGCAAGCTAGATGTAACTGTAAATTCTATGCTAACAGTTTCTTTTTGCACACTTCTCGCTTATGGAACTCCCTTTGGGCTCCATGCTTTCCATTCAACCTTAATCTGCAAAAATTTAGATGCGATGTCAATTGCTATCTGCTGTCCTCTTAATTACTCTTTTCTCCTTCTGCTCATTATTAATGTTCCTGTTCCTAATTCTTCCACCCCTAGTAACCCCTTGAGTTTTAGTGGCTTTTCTGCCTTGCATGGAGTTAAACCAATTAAAAATCAATATGGATATTATTAATATCAAAATTTGGCACCATTTTTGTTTTCTTTGTTGACTTAGAGCTCATTAAAATACACTCAATAACATGTGTAGTAATATTAGTACTTCTACTCCCAGAGAGACAAACACTTCAGTAATGAAAAAGTGTTACTGTCTCTGATGGTAAACTAAGAAGTTGACGTCACCTTGGCAATTTTTAAACATTGGAAATCACAAAAAAAGATGTCAGATAAGTATCCAAACACAAGTTACTGCAAAATGTCTTTTGATTCAATTATCAATAGCTGTAATTTTATTTCTTTTCTCACATTGATCTTATAACTGATGAAAAGAGATAATTGAACAACACTCAGAACTGGCATCTTCTTTCCAGCTACTATTTTCATACTCATACAGACACTGATGGACCCAATGTAAATCAGAGTCATAAATAATATTATACCTTGATATTTTACTATCTTGTCCTAATGGGTTAAGTTTCCTATCACCCCTGGGTTGTACTGGTAATCTCCATTTAGAACATTTTATTTTTTTTTTACTTTGGGTACCAAGACAGTCCTTAACACTGCTCTATAGCAATAGTTCTCAATCATTTTCTATTCATGGCCCACTTTTGATTGATGATTTTTTATGGTCCCCTCCTAGTCATTTATATTAACAAAAACTTATTTTACAATTTCCATAATGAATAAACTGATATTTCTCTATATAAACTTCAAAATTGCTTGTTTTAAAAATTAAACCAGTGAAATTAGATAAACTTTTATTATGGGAAAAAAAGTTCAGCACATAAATACACATACAAATTTTAAAAGTTCTGCAAAATAAAAAAAATTAAAAATAAAGTTCTGCAAAATGAAAAAAAAGTTCCCTGCATAAATTTTACATAAATACACACTAGTAATATAAAAAAAAAAACACTTGAAAATTATTTTATTACATAACTAGCAGTAGAGCCCGGCATTTCCCAGGGATATAACAGTAAGAGATAGATTAAGTATCCACCATCATAAAGACTGAAAAATAAAATTGACAAAGATTATTGTTTAAGGTTGACAGACACACATGTCTTAATTATTATTTTTTTTTTTGTTTTTTTACAAATTGGTCAAACCCAAACTCAAACAAAAACATTGTTTTCAGTCTCTACCGATTGAATAGAATTTTATTATGAACAATTGTCTTGTAAATGGAATTTTTAAAGCATTCTGAATGTAAAAATAAAGAAAAAAGTGTGCAAGACAATAAGAAACACTACATGCCAAAAAAAAGTGAAGTTTTGTTGAAATCGGTTGAAAAATGTAGGTAGCCTTTCGGTAATCTTTTAGTTTTACAATTTATGATTTTTACTTATTGAATATAGTAAAAAAAAATTGCATATTTTGCTTGTGGTGATTCATAATTAGAATTCTGATTTGAATATATTTTCCGCTCGTTGTTTCTAATACAAAAAATATTAATTTTATTTGGGTTTATTAATTATGATCTAACAAATCTTATTCATTTAGTAGCTTTCTGTAATAATAATCTTTTACAATTTATGATTTTTACTTATTGAATACAGTAAAAAAATTGGACACCATGTGTATTTAAAGTAGTTTCTGGTTATTATTTTTAGTTAGGAGGACTTGTGTATGTTTAGATTTCATTATCTTTCCCTAAAGATAAAGAATTATCCGATGTTTGGATTCGTACAATCAGTAGAGATCGTTAGATTATTGTTTAAGGTTGATGGACACGCATGTCTTAATTAGTTTTTTTTTTTTACAAATTGGTCAAACTCAAACAAAAACATTGTTTTCAATCGTTATGAGTCTCCCGATTGAATAGAATTTTATTATAAACAATTGTCTTGTAAATGGAATTTTTAAAGCATTCTGAATATTAAAAATAAAGAAAAAAGTGTGCAAGAGAATAAGAAACACTACCTGCCAAAAAAAAAGTGAATTTTTGTTTTATCAGCTGAAAAATGTAGAAAATCCGACCCCATATATAAAGGAATACACAATCACAAACAACCTGGGTTTTTAACCCGATGTGAGTTGTCTCCCTTTCATTCACATGATGTCTCTTAATCGTGTTTTCAAATTGATTTTGTGCAAAAACAATTGTATTTTTCCCATTTTTGGCACTGTTAGAATCACTGCAAGGTAATTTTATGTAGTCCTGTGAAGTTTTGTTGAAATCAGTTGAAAAATGTAGGAAATCCGATCCAATATATAAACGTTACAGACACACACACACACACACACACACAATCTGTGTTTTATAATAAGTAAGATTTAAGCTTATAATAACTAAAATATAGAAGACAACAGGGTTGTAGCACTGTGACCCCTTTCAATGAACTTTTGCCACTCCCCCCCCCATTTTTTTTTTTTTTGTGGTCTGTTTTATAGAAAGATATTGCAGAAAGAGACTAATTATGGGAAGGATGAAAACCTATAAAGATCAACCAAAAATAGGAGTTGGCAATTTTGTTAATTTTTTACAAGAAAGGTCACCAGATAGGAAGAAAGAGATTTAAGAGTCAGGATGAGAGAGATCCTGGGAGAATGTTTTTTTTTATTTTTTGAATCATTCATTACAAACAGATATTACTAAATAGACATCACTGTTTCATAAACTTGAACTAAATGTGCTCAAAATTATATATGAAGTAACTACTGTTGATATTTTCTGATGATCATAAACTGTAAAAATAAATAAATGCACTAAACTGTCTCTTTCCTTTTTTTCTGATAAAAGCAAACCATCAAGTTTTTCAAATAAAATATATTGTAAGCAGAGGCATTTGTACAGGTTGTGAAACCCAATGTTTGCAAAATCAAGCAGTCATGAACTCCAAATGTATATGAACACATATGAAAATACGTTAATATGTCCTTGGCACACAAATGTAGGAGTTTATATATGCAGTCATTGGTAATCTGGCAATTACTGCTAGTAATCTTTGCAGAACAAGTGAGCAAGTTAATGTTGAAAACAAAAAATGTCTTTTATTTTTATCTAATAACCTGATAAACTCTTTGGACACCCAATACACACAGAAATACACTCTCTTTTTATCCCAAGTGAATTTGGTTAAACGAATATTTTGCAGGTAAGAAGCGTTGTGCAAAAGAGCCATCCACACCTTTAAAGGTTCTGACTGATTTGTTAGGTCTTGGTCAGGATTATCAAGAGGTGAGTTCATCCAGTTTCATCCTTTTTCTTATTTGAAATTACAATTGTACCCTCATTAATTCAACAACATTGGGACCTGACCATTGCTGGATTACATGAAATGCTAAAAAACAGAAATTAATGTAAGAAATAGACATATATGTTTTAATATAATTTATATCAATACAACATTACATTTTTATAAATTGTATTAAATTAAATTTATCTGTTTGCATATCTTGTTTAATTGTTACTATAAAAAATAATTGATAAGATTCAGAAAGAAAGAAATACTTATAAATAAATACTTATAAATACTTATCTAATGTTAAAATAAACATTAAATGTTGCTAAATTTAGAGATCTTTGATTTGATTTCAAACTGCAGTTATATGTTTTTACACTTTCATTTTAACATATCAGTTGATACAGTAACTTACATTTCAGTGGTTTGAAATTGAGTTGAGGAACTCTTGAGGTAAACCCAACAATTAATGGTAGCAAATTCAAAACTTACTGAACCACAGAATGTCAAATTAGAAAGGTGTAATCTTTATGAGGAAAAGATTTCATTTTACTCATCTAATTTTGTTGCTAATTTCTATTTTTTTTATATAATCTAATTATCTTTCTTGTTTCTTTTCCTTATATGGAAAGGTCACATGTTTACCAAAATCTTTAACAGTTGCCTATAGAAAAGCATTAGTTAACCAGTTATATAATAAGTTACTTTACAGATAACAAGAGAACGGTTTTTAGCACACAATACTTCTCAAAATGGTAAAAAAAATAAGCTTAATTCTTCAATATTGAATGCATATAACCTTTTTATATTTTGAAATAAATCTGCCTCAATCATAGATGTAAAGTCTGGAATGCATGGTATGTCAATGCTTATTTTCATGCCATTTTTTTAGGATTGTAATTTTCTTCTCATCTGTCAATGAATAAAAATATAAATACTGTAATTAAAATGAAGTTTCTCAAGAATGTATATGTAAGATTAGCTGCCATTTGTAATGTATCATTTTGTAGGCAATGAATATTTGATATTATCCAGCATATGACATAAATTCACATCAAAATATTAACAAAGTCTATCTCCTTTTATAAATTAAATCTCCATTACTTGGCTCTTTATTTTTGCCTTATGATTTAAACTAAATGAAGAAATATATATGTTCTTACATTGTATAAATCTGTATCATCTACTTCAGTAAGAAAAGGGGATGAAAAAGAGAAAGATGGATTAAAGGGGCAAGATGAAGTAAGACTATCTTCTTTTATATCTAAGGAATCGACTAATATTTAGCTCTCTTTGGCAAATGTAGAGAAATGTGCCTGCAATAACATAGACTTTCAAAAGGACGGTTTTTCCATTGACGCTGCTTTTTTAACTACCTTCACTCTTCAACAATGTTTATTGTTTTAAAAAGTGATGATTAGAATTTTAATAAAATCTAAACATGAAAATGAATTTATACATTTTCATTGTTCTTGAAAATTGACAACAAAAATAATAAACACTATTTATTTATATATTTTGTTTATATTATATACATTATTTATTTATAATATTTATTGGAATTGTTGGCATAACAATGGTTAATTGCCAATTGATTCAAACTTTATAAAATGGTAAGTAATAAGTATTTCCTTATTGATGATTCACATATTTTAATAACTTAGTGAATTTAAGAATAAAAATTGCTTTCATATTTATTTATTTATAAATTGATAAATATTGCATTGCATTTAGTTCTAATTGTATTAGTTTTTAGAATGTTATAATATAAAATTATTCTAGTAAATAAAAATCCAATAGTGTTTAATATTTTTGTTGTGAATTCTCAAGGATAAAAATGTATAAATCCACTGTCATCATATATTTGGGTTTTATTTCAATTCCAGTAATTACTTTTTAAAACAATAAACATTACCAAAGAATGAAGGTAGTTAAAATAATAGCAGAGTCATGGAAAAAAAATCTTTTTGATACTATATCTTATTGTGGACATATTTATCTGTTATCTTATAACAGTTTTTTTTCTAGAAGTACACTTAAAAAATATCAACAATATTAAGTATGGTGATTATCTATTGTGTTTAAAGATTTTATTGTAGTTAACTTTCTCAGCTAATCACTGATTTGCCAATCAGTAGTAGATTAATTGATATCCTCACTGACAGGTGTGTTTCATTATTAGTAAGATGCTGTGTTGATTTCAGTCTTTCTTATACAAAGTTGTGCTCCCTCTGATTGTTGCTCCTCTCTGAAGATGACAGCTCTCTAGGAAATGGCAACCTCTTCTTAATCAAAATGCCTACTACTTTATATAGATCATTTTGAACTTTATTGGAGGATTGTTCAATCAGAATGCCAAGAGTCATATTTACATTCTTGTCTTGTAACGGTATTCACCCGGGGTGGGTTGAGCTGGCTCCAAATGAATTAACCACATCATGCGTCAAGGCCATCCACCCCTGTTGATCGGCAGCAGAATCGATGGCATGATCGAGCCATTCGCGATTCCAGCATCAGACCCCGAAAATGCGAGGACCGGACATGAATTCCATATCTGCTTTGACCATTGCAAGCCACATCTTGAGTTGACCATCTCGGCGCTTCCTCCAACCAGTGGGTGCGTTTGGCGGCACCAGTTTACGGATGAACTCATCACCAGGCCACCACAGAGTCTCCTGTTAAACAGAGTTTCTTCCAGGCCCAAAACGTTGCATCTGGCACGGATAGATGAGTTGGGGATCCGGTCGGAGAGGCATACACACAGGATACGGTGGAGGCAGTAGTGATTGAAGACCTCAAGCTTATGAAGATCCTCTCTGCGCAGTGGCCAGGTCTCACAACCATAGAGAAGAATTGTTCTGACCATGGCTTCGTAGATTCACAACTTCGTGGATCATCTTATCTCCTGGTGAGACCAAAGTCATTTTTGAAGACGGACAAAGGCAGCTCTAGCCAAATTTATACGGGTGGTGATTTACATTATCTAGTGAAAAATAGACAAAGGAAAAAAATGGCTGACAGATGAAATTCTCAACATGATGAAAAGAAAGCAAAAACCAAAGACAATGTATGCACAAAATATAAGACTCTGCACAAATAAATTAAGAACAAATGCAGGCAGGCTAAAGAGGAATGACTCAATGAAAAATATGCAGAAATAGAAAGAATGGGTATTATAGATAAAGTAGATATGCATAAAAAGAGAATTAACAGGACAAAAATATGCTCATCAGCAAGATTCATAAAATCCAAAGATAGGACACTGATATTAGAGAAAGAAGAAATACTTCAGAGATGGAACAAGTACATCACAGTCCTCTTCCATGACAAAAGAGAACAACCAGCAATACACAGAAATATTGAAGAACCAGAAATATTAAAAATTGAAGTGGAATCAGCAATGGTCAAATTGAACAGAAATAAAGCAGAGATGTTAGCAGCCTTAGACGATTTCACCATTGACAAGATTACAGACATAATAAATGAAATATACAACAATGACAATATATCGGAAGACCTAAGTAGATCTATTTTCTAAGAAGCCAGGTGCAAACAAATGTGAATTCCATTAGAATCATCATCATGAGCCATATTACAAAACTTATCTGAATCTGGATGAATAGAGCTCTCAGCAGAATTAGACTAGAAATAGGATGAGAACAGACACAGGAATGAGGAATGCAATATTTATGCTCAGAATGATATCAGGAAGAGCAATACAAATTCAGTGGAAAAAAAACAGTGCATAACCTACATGGTTAACTTGAGTGAATAGATGGCAGAGCAGAGTTTGTGAGCATTGGCAGAAGACAAAATGTATTGATAGCTCAATTGTGGAGAGACATGATTGCCAACATCTATATGGGACATATCTAATAGAAGAAGTATGTTCCATAAATTGTAGATTGTAGTTGTGATTATTATAGCAGATTTTGAGAGAATTGATATTCTTGAGTATTATGTACTGTAATTATTTCCTTAATTCTCTATCATTTCTTAATTTATTATTAATGTTTTAGAACACCATGTATCATAGCAAGAATGTCTGACTAAAAATTCATAGCTGCTATGATATCTTTTTATTCATCATACTTCAAAAAATAAGAATTGATAAATATAAAATTCTAGCTGTGATTTCTCATATAAATAAAATTATTTTTGTTACAAACTGTCATCAGTTTTCTGAAGAATTTTCATTATATGAACTTAAGTTTTGCTATATGATCCTGCTGTAAATTTGAAAGCTTCAAGGTTGTTAGTGTGTTAGAGTTTGATTGAGAATTTATTAATAATGTCATTTATTTAAAGTTTAACAAGAAATCAACATTTGTTTAAATTGATTAAGCATAGAAATGACTGTGATATAAAAACACATATTATTTCTGTTGTATTCATGTAGTTTTTATGAGGTTAATAATTGTGAAATAACCACAATTGCACAATTAAGTAGAAAAAATTATTTTATACTTTTTAAATATTTTAGGACTAATCACCCAGTAATGATAATGTAAAAAAATTATTGCATTTAATGATAAAAAGTAGAACAGTAAATTTGACAGGGTATTTAAAATCAAACTCTTATGATTGGCCCTATAATTTACTACATTTGACGGTATATAAAACCCATTTTTTCCTCTTACATTTAGTATTACAATATTATGGAATTAGATAAGGTACAAGTACTGACAGTCTGCAGCATTTAGGCAACCCAGTAATTTCAACATCACATATATGACCTGAGATATATTTCTCAAGCTGTTTTTTCTAGGGGAAAAAGGATGTTCTTATATGCTATCCATTACTGTAATTGCCAGTATTACAGCCACCAGAATTTATGTGCAAGGAGTTATCTGAGCACATTATCTTCTCAGATCTATCTTTTAGTTCTTATATGTTCAGATTAATGATAAGATAAGGATGATTTATATGGGTATCATTTTCAGATTCATCCCTATGTGAATGGAGTCCTGTACAGTATACTTGCTCTTCCTTCTGTCAGAGAAGCAGCAAAGGCCATGGTAAGTTTGACATTTTTCATTTTTTGAAATTAATGTTGTTCAATCTTGCTGATAGTATGACACTTTGCTAGCATCTTCAAAGTTTTATAACGAGTGAGTATCTAATGTGTTACTTTTAAAATTTAATCTCTAATCAAATTAAATACTGTGTTGTTCTGTAAATTATTCAGACTTACATCTTCATACTTGTTGCTTCAATCACTACATATTTGTTGGTTTTAATGTTGGTATTAGGACCAATTCCTCAGAGTATTCTCTGTAGATATTTGCCATTTTAAGTGGCATCAGTTAACTCATAATTTTTCATTCATCCCATTATAATGATCAAAATAACAGATATGAAGCTTCTAGTCTAAATAATAAAATTAAATTACTCCAAACATTTGTTTGGCTTTTACTGTAAGATAGTATTGGGAACATTTAGTTCTGAGTTCACTTTTAATTGTATTCTGACAACCATCATATCAATGTGAATTTTAAAAATAATTTTGTCACAGTTGGGGTATATTTTTGTTTAATGATTCTAACATTGGAAATGGAAGAAAATGTTTTTGGTATATCATATTTTTTTTTATTTTATGAAAAGTAAAAATGCAACCCAAACAAAAAAAAAAAAAACTATGTGCAGTTCATGAGAAAATTCCTGTAAATAATCAAATGTGTCAAGTGTTTTTTGAAGTTTTTAAGCTGGAGTTTTTTTCATTGAAGAATACTATACAGTCAGGTAGATCAGGTGAATTGAATAACAATCAAATCAAAACCTGAGAATAATCAATCTTATATAATGCATGAGATAACAAATATAATTAGTTATGTTAATTGCTTCAATATGTAACTTCTACATAAGCAAAAACATCTACTGAACTGTATTTTCATGCAATTTACTATTCAAATGAAATGGAAATGTACAATTTTTTAAACAGATTGTGAGTGGGGATGAAAAGTGAATACTTTACAACACACAATGTAAGTAAGCATATGGCAAGCAAAAAATTAAGTACTATTAACTATATCAGTGGCTAGTATTCATCCAAAAATTGCAATGCTGTGTATATTTTTGTATTTGGAAAGGAGATATATAATATGAGATCCTTCTATAGAAGCAAATAATTGATTCAGAAAAAGTACTGCTCCTTATTAGACCAATTGAAAGCAGCAATAAAGGAAAAATGTCCCTCTGGAAGTAATTATCAGAAAGGATATAATGTTTCATTAGGATAATACTAGACTGCATGTTTCCTTGGTGACTAGGCAACAATTGTTATATCTTAACAAGGAATTTTTCTCTAATCTACTTTATTCAGCAGACATTGTGTCCTTGGATTACCACTTACGCCAGCAATTACAGAATTTTATTAATGAGAAATTTCCACTTCATAGGAAAACTACAAAAGGACTTTGAACAATTGCTTGGAAAGATAAAAGAATTCTAGAAAGATAGAATTATGAAATTGCCTGAGAAATGCTGACTATGCTATTTATAAAAAGAAACTTCTTTACTTTCAATATTTTTGCTAACTTAATACTTCCTCATGGAGCTGAGTTCAAATTCTAGTCAATTTCATTACATTTACTTATGTTCTAATACCCTTGGGAAAGGTATGAATCCCTCTCTTCTCCTCCAAGCTATGGGTAAAATAGCAAGACAGACTGGGTCCTATAGTCTTGGGTGGCAACCAGTCTAGGAGAAGGAATCTCTGAATTTAAATCACCTGCTGCCTTGTAGGTTCTGCCTCTTTAGGCAAAGGCTAGAAGAAGGTAACTTCAAAATCAAATCCACCTCTGAGAGGAGTGATGGGGTAACCTCAACATCCCCCAGTAAAAAAAGGAAAAGGAACCAGCAAGCCATTGCTCTATTCTGCCTTGAATGTCACCATGAACCACAACTGTGAGATGAAGGGGAGTGGTGACCCCAGCAGTGCAAAATGCACTAAATCAATAAAATGTATGAAAGTTCCTCTCAGAACTTATGGTGCATTTGTAAAATTCTAAGTTTTGTGTTCCAAGACATTTGATTATTTTGAATTTTAATTTTTCATGATACAAAATAGAAACAAACCAAGTGATTATATTTGTAAGATTTCATTTTTTTCTGAAAATATTAAAACAATTGTCCTTTTAGAATTTTAATTTTTGTACAATAAATATTAAAAGTTACATTCTTTAGATGTTTCACATTTTAGTTATGTTCTGAAGCATAAGAAATTAAGTACTCGAATATATAGAATTTTAAATATTAAACACTAAAGTTTAAATATTGTAAAATACTGAAATTTTACAACTAAAGATTTTGAAAACTTATATAATTAAAAAAAATGATAGAAAACTTAAATATTAAAAGCAGTGTAAGTTTTGTAACTTCATTCTTTAGGACTAAAGCTTTGAGTTGTTAGGGAACTTATTAAATATTTTGTGCAATTGATCAAATTTTGTTTTCAAAAGGAAATACTTTCCCTCTCTATTCATTTGGTAAATTATAAAAATCTTTGTAACTGAATAAAATCAGTATTGAAGTGGGTTTGTGACACTGTTTTAAGGTCATTGTGATTTCAGAAGTCTTAAACATTCAGTAATTTCTGCAGAGAAAAATGAGCATCCATTTGGGTGAGCAAAGCAGAATCAACAGCTTTTCATGGGTCACTTGTACAACAAGCAAACTTTGCATAATTGTGGGTATTCCCATGATGCATCAGTCATATTTATGTTCACTCTGTTCCATCAGTATTAGTCTTGTTTAAATCAATCAATTCACAATAAACTATTTTTTTGCATATTTCACCAACAACAAAGCATAAGCTTTTGCTGAAGTAACTGTGACTTTGATCTTGCTGTTGTGGTGGTGCCTTTTTCTGTTGAGCTTTGTTTGTGTACTGTGTTAACATACAGACAATTATTGTTATTGTCTGTCATAATGGTATCTAATCATTCATGGATGCATATGTCCAACTTCTTGATGTAGCATGGAATTTATGATATTTTATCAACTGCAGGTAGTAGGGTAAATGCTGTTAAAATTCTGTGCTTTTTCTTAGCTTATCAACTTGATTGGCTTCCAGAACATGTGACAGTTCATTCTGATCTTACTCAAATTTACATCTATTTCAAGCTTCTTTCTCTGCTGTCCCAAATTTGCTTGTGAACCACTTTTAAGCTCTCCTAAAATTGAGAGTTCCTTCTTCAAATGACTGTTAAATTTTGAAAGTATACAGCAGTCACATTTTTAACTGCTCAGGAGAATTTTTCTGAAATGTTTTTATACATGCAACTGATGTTTGTAATTGCCAAGAGCAGTTTAATAGCCTGAATTAAATGATTTTGTGAATGTTCTAGGCTCAGAGCTTTCAAACCTTAATCATAATGTGCTGAACTCTCAACTGATCTATTTAATTTTAAAAAGTGACATAAAACTTATTGCTTCATAATATTTGTCAGTGAATGAATTAAATGGATATCTGTTTGTAGTCTGTATTTTTCTAACAAATCATAATAGTTTTCAGATTTTAGTATAAAATATAAATGTGTATGTGCATGTATATAGTTCCGTTCATGTAGTTATGCATTCAATGTATTCATACCTTTTCTTTCATTTATGTATATATCTTCATATTAATGAATATATTTATGTTTTATAAAAATTTTGCTTTCCTACCAACTCCAAGTTCTTGTGCCAGACACAAAACTTAGTTGGTAGAAACAGCAACTCTCGAAAATAGGTGCAACTTAAAAATACAAGATGACCACTGCATAAAGTTTTAAAAGGAACAACACATTTATTTACAACTAGCAGTAGAGCCCGGCATTGCCTGGGGATGTAACAGTAAGAGATAGATCAAGTGTCGACTATCATAAAGACTGAAAAATAAAATTGACAAAGATTATTGTTTAAGGTTGACGGACATGCATGTCTTAATTAGTTTTTTTTTTTTTTTGTATTTTTTTTTCAAATTGGTCAAACCCAAACTCAAACAAAAACATTGTTTTCAATCGTTATGAGTCTGCCGATTGAATAGAATTTTATTATAAACAATTGTCTTGTAAATGGAATTTTAAAGCATTCTGAATGTAAAAATAAAAGAAAAAAAAAATTGCAAGACAATAAGAAACACTACCTGCCAAAAAAAGTGAAGTTTTGTTGAAATTGGTTGAAAAATGTAGGAAATCCGATCTCATATATAAAGAACACACACACAACCTGGGTTTTATAATAAGTATAACTCGATATGAGTTGTCCCCCTTTCATTCTTGCGATGCCTCTTAATCGTGTTTTCAAATTGATTTCATGCAAAAACAATTGTGTTTTTCCAATTTTTGGTGCAGTCAGAACCACTGCAAGGTAATTTTACGTAGTCTTGTGAAGTTTTGTTGAAATCGGTTGAAAAATGTAGGAAATCTGATCCAATATATAAATGTACAGACACACACACACAACCTGGGTTTTATAATAAGTATGATTACAAATTGGAAAAGTACCAAACAAAAATTAATCCCTTCAAAAATAGAGAAAAGTTGGTAAAATTTGGAGAAGGGATTTAACAATATGACACAAGGCAGAAATTTTTCAAACAGCAACATTCAGAAACTGTATGTCTCAGCTCAAAGGGGTTTGTGTGATAAAGTTCACTTGTTTGTTCTTGGGCATGAAATCTTCAGTCACAAGAATCTGCCTTGTATCTGTCAGGTCAGGTTTATGACCTCTAACTGGACTTTCCTTTGACATGTGGGGAGCGGGGTGCTATGCTTAATTCTTTCTCCTCAATGGTACATCCTTGTCTCCTATCTGTTGTTATCCTCTCTGATCTGCCTCAGCCCTCTTCTTCTGCTACCTAAGCCCTCAGCTATTCTCTGCTCTCTGCTTGTGCCTCAGCCCTCTGCTTGTGGTCCAGCCCTCTTGTCCCAGATCTCTGATAGCAGTCCTTTTTATTGAAAAAGTGACCATGATATTGACGCCAGTCAAAATTTAACATTGGCCCACAAACTTGTTTTATCATTTGCCAATGTAT